AGAGAGAGAGAGAGAGAAGTGACACATAATGAGGTGCAAGAAAAAGCCTACTCTCTGCATTGTGCTGAGAACAAAATAATAACAGCAGTGACTAGAGGCAGGAAAATCCAATTACAATAGCCATTACTCCCTCTACTGGTGAACAGCCAAGAGGGACAATAGAAGCGATTCGCCCAAATTTCATCCAAAGCTTAAGTAGCTTCACCCTTTGCCCTTTTCAGTGGAGGCACTTGCCAGCATATGGGCTTTGGGGAAACTGTGGCTCAGTAGTCCATGCTGGTTATCCTAAGAATTGGATGCTTGTGACAGCTTATGGACAAGATCATGAGACCATTTCGACTGCACGCAGATAAATGTACTGTAGGCCTCTGTTCAAAACATAAATATAAAGTTTAAAGCACTAAAACTCACCATCTGTGTTTAGACACAGCTGGTTTACGCATGCTAACAAAAACGTGCAGTTCAAGAAATCTGTGTAAGAGGGAAAAGGTCATCTATAATCCGGACAATCAGAGGTCATGGTTGGATTAAATTTCAATGTGATGACTGTGTAAAATCACTTTAAATGGCACTGGGTTTACTTTGCTTAGGTCAAAAGGATCAGTTTTTTCATTACGTGCAAATCTCAATCTCACCTCATTTTGGTCCACAGTTAATTTTCAAAGACTCATTTTAGCAACAAAAAAAAAAATATTTGTGATGGCAGATTCTCCCTTTTCTTACACTCTCCGATGTTGGTTATTTGTTGGTTGCTCAGTTTAAAGTAGTGCATTAGTCCTGTAAAGAGGCCTGTTCTAATCCATGTGCATCATGGCGCCATCTGATATTTGACCCCAATGGAACAGGCCTGGAGGTGGGTGACATTATCTGCTAACACAAGATCTCCATAAAAAAAAAAAAAAAACACAACAATCACCCCTTTTTATGCATATGCATTATGCAAATAGTGTCATCAGGTCCATGTGCCTGGAGGTAAAGCAGAGGAGAAAGCAGACTTTGGCTTGTGGGTGGGGAGATGTATTTTTATGTTAGGATGTAGAGGGCAAAGCCACATAAATTGAATTTCCTGTGCATTAATATTAATAAGGTTAAAGTCGTGGGATTCGAGAAGGATCAAGACTGGCGATATTTTAGCTTTAATAATGTTTATATTTCTACTGTATGACTGATTTCTAATTATTTATGCTTGCTGCCTCGTGATGTGCCGTGAATATTATTTTAATGCTGTCCTCATGATGTAATCATTGTTTTCAGTGGTTGCTTAGCTTAGACTTTAAGTTTATGTTTTATTCAACTTTTTTTTTATTCACCTACTGAGTGTTTAGGATCGACATAGCAATAAAACACCTGCCAGAAGTAAAAAATAAAAAAATAAAAAAATATAAAAAAATACAACATTTTTAAAAAAGCAGCGCTTATCTCACCTGGTGAAAATATCGCCTCCAACGAAGAGCAGAGCAAGACACGACAGGAAGAAAGTTGGAACCTCCATTCCACACGCTTTGCGATAAATAATTGAGGGGAAAGAAATAAGAAAAGTTTCCAGGAAAGGAAATCGACGACAAAAGCCACGGAGTTTTTTATTTTAGTGCGCTGTCGTCGTGATCCGGCGCTGCCGCGAACAAAGTAAAGTGCGGTGCTGGTGCTGATGCTGATGCTGAAGATGATGGTGATGGTGATGATGACCCCATGTTCAGTCCCCAAATTCCTCCGCTTGCAGGAGCGCACGAGAAGAGAGCGCACCGAGGAGACGCAAAACTCTCCGTCCGACCGCAACAACGAGCCGATCCACCGCCGCCGCCGCCTGTCCTCCAGCAACCGAGAGAGAGAGAGGGATGGATGGAGAGAGAGAGAGAGAGAGAGAGAGAGAGAGAGAGACTCACTAATCTGTCGGTCCCTCCTTTGCTTGGCCTGTAAACGTCAGATTTAATCTGGCCATCAAGGAGGGGAGGGGGGGGGTCAGGAGGAAGGCATGTCACGAACATAGGACTTGAGTATATTATGTAATGTTTGACACATTTGAATCATCTCCATTAGGTAATTACTGTCTCAAACAAAGTTGTATTTCACTCTGGTGGGAAAGGGATAAACAGCAGAGACTATCATAGTGAGGTGCCCAGTGGGGGGTCCATAGTGGATGGGAGCACCCAGTAACCCTTCAGTTGGTCTACAGGGGACCTTGTCCCATTAAAAAAAAAGTAGCAGGTACTTCAGTTGTGTTTTCACAAGTCAAATACTTTCATGCAGTAGCCTAAGTAAACTCATGTTAGATGGAGTATTGTATGTATTCTCTCTATGGATAATTGGTGGTGAGTTCTGTACAATTAAACCATTTCAAAAGGGACTCTGCTACAGCTGACTGCCCCAGGTTGTCACGGGCTTTTGGTCAGCAGAATAATGTGAGAAAATGAGGAACTACTCTGATACTGCTCGACACCTCCATCACGGTCTGTATAGGCTAATTGAATGTAATTCTATTCTTATGAACATGTAGATCAGAATGTATCTCATATCAGAGTCCTATTACTGTAGCACAAAGGTTATAACACTTTTAATGTCAGGGACCAAAGGCCACGATTTGAAAAGATTCAGTCTCTATGGGAAACCAGTGGAGACACAATATCACACAATAAGACCACTACTGACACTAAAGTCTTACTCAGGGACCTTCATTGCAAAGCAGCTACTGTTAATGTCATCACTGAGCACCACAGAAATACACCCATGGAACATAAACCATCAATCTGGAATGAACACCACAGACAAACTATATAAATCCATGTGTTATAGGAGTATTAAAAACATTTACAGTATAATAAGAGTAGTAGATACTACACTTGTAGTACCACAAACATATTTAGGGTAAATCAGTAACTTTCAGAAAGTGTGGGGAGAGACAGATTTGAAAAAGAATCATCAACACTGATCAAGTAATCCCCAAACTGTAGACCTAACAAATATTATAGTGATATTTAAGGGGATATAAAGTAGAAAACATAACTCAATGATAAGGTTATCATATGCAAATAACTAAATGCCTTAGATGTATATACATCATTTTAAACTTGTGAAAAATGCGCATTTCAAACTGTTGGTCGTCAGATGCATTCACTTTACTACTGTGTTTAGGTCCTCCTTTTACAACGTTCCCCAGTGTGGGATCAATAAAGTCTTTTTTTCTGACCTATTGACATTACATTGGCTTCCCACTGTAAACAACCCTGTAAAGTTTAATAAGGTCACCAGATACAAGAAGTCTTGAAAGTAAAATCAAAACAAGGTATAGAGTTACAAACACATCTTGCTGCCCACAGGAATTATTCTATGAATTTATTATATTAGAGAATATTATATTGGTCCCAGAGGTATAATCTCATAAGCATTTTAATCTCTTCTCCTCAGTTTGATTAAATAATCAAATATACGATTTATAAACAAGAAACGTATCCTGCATTCTGTCGAAATTTGCAGGCTTTTATTTTCTCCTCATTAAACATAACCTCTTTTATGTGCTACGGCAAGAGTAGTTCAGTGCATAGTTGCAGCAGTGCACCTGCCCTGGTTTTTGCTGCCTCACCCTGGGGAGACGAGACAGGCCTGGAGTCAGTGGCTGCGGATTCAAACCCACTGCCTCCCTCCCACCGGACCCTCCACTTGGATTTGCACTGCAAGTTCTTTTGATATGTGGATACCAGGCTAAAGTACGCACTGCATTACACTACATGGGATTGTATTCTCTTTGTTTCTTATACCTTTTATTCCTTTCACCCTCATGTATTCTCTTTCTCTGTTTTCCTCCTGTTGATCCATTGTCAGCCAGAGTCTTTGTTTCCATCGCAGTAATTTTACTCTGCCTCTATCTCTCCAACAAAACCTGCCCCCTATCCTACATCACACACATGCACATGCTTACTATTTATTTATTTATTCAGTCTCCCATGGTGATACGAAATACTCCTGTATCACAATATTTCAACGTGTTATACAGTAGGACACACACATCTCTTCTTCCTCCTCCGCTTCTACATTCCTCTTCAACAGTATATATGATGAACTGAGGGAAAGCTGCTTTTTGTAAAATAAAATAGAATATTTCCATTAAGCTATAAAGCACATTGCAATACTGATTAACTATAAATTAATGTATTTTTCCTGTGTAAATCAGATATAGGACCTAGCATGCGTGACAAAAGATTTTGCATAATTCACAGATGTATCATTGTTTCTGAATCAGCAGTGATATACTGAGATCAGGTCAAAGAAATACCAGTGTTGGTGAATGAAATTATATTGACAGCAAGAAGATCACAGGTGTAGAAAATATCCCCGACATTATTTAAATATTTGAAAATGCATTTAATTGATTTCCCTACTTTATCATGGAATTCAAGTAGTTTAGTTGTCTAACTACTTTGTTAGACATTAACGTGATATCAGTGATAACGTGATTACAGTCAGCAGCCTGTGGTTTCTGTTGGACGTTCAGTTGACGCTCGTCGTCAGGCCTCGCCCCTTACGTCCCGTCTCCATAGAAACACTAACAAACATGGCGGATTCAGTTTTACTGTGAGAAAAAGTAATTTTGCGACGATATCTTGCCAAGAGAAGGGACGCTTAGTTAAGCGAGGTAACGGCACAATGTTTGTTAAACGAACTGTTTTTTACTTTACATATGATACAGTCTAAATTCAGCATTAAGTTAGTTAACTGCGCATTATTAGTTCGTTGTATAGATGTCTAGTTACCCAAGCTTAGTTAGCTCAATATCGAGTAAATGACACTCCAACTTCCATTTATAAATCTGGTTATTGTATGTTGTTGCAATGTCACGCAATTCACGAAGAACAAAACTACATATATTTTACTAAACAATATTTCAAAAACTGATTTGAACTTTTTAAATGAGAGCTATTCCTGCACTTGTAACAAGCAACATGAGCCAGCACTGAAATAGTTCATGAATTAACGCTATCTCTGCCGAATAAAAGAAGTGGCTTCCAACAATTCAGTGAGCAACCACGTTAACAAGGTTATTGAAGACGTTTGTTAGCCTTCAGTCCATTCTCAGGGATTTGTTGAAGATATTAGTCATTAGGTTTATCTGATAATATCCCCCTTTGTTATTCATAAATAAGGTCAAATGGACGTCGAAGACAGGGACAGTGCATCCGATGTGGCGTCAGACAGGAGTGGACCGCTGGGTGTCCACCTCAGCCCTGATGAAGACATTGGGGGTGAGTGACAGTTTGCAAAAGTCAGCCTGTAGTCTCTACTTGTAGTCTCTA